TGAATTTTTTGTGGGTTTCGAGTGTTTGTCGCCAAGTTTCTTTTGTCAATTTATAGGTTTTAAGTGATGCTCTTTACGATGGAATAGTCAAAATCTGGATGCCTTAAGTTCCCCATAAAGTGAACTTGTTACGGTGCGAGTAGCTTAAAAAAGTCGCGGTAGGATCGCGTTCGCTGTAAGACTCGCGAAATAAGACGCAATTTTGAGCGATCACTGTTTTTTTCGCGCTAATACAAAAATCAATGACTCTCAAGTATTTGCTATAGTTACTATTTATTCACGTTTTCCGTCTGATATCAGTAAATGAGCCACGCTACTTTTACCGCGAACGCAGACGAATGGTGTACGCGCGACCCCACTACGCAAGACTATATTAGTCATGTCGTAAGCTATTATTAAGATGTAATAAGATTTCGAAAATTTCTCGAAAAATCAGTAAGAGTTATATACCAGGCGCGTAAGCAAAAGGAAAAGGTGAATAGGATTTGCACGGGAGACGCGCAGCGGTGTTGTATCATGTCGCGATCGTAAGAGAAAAATACGCTCTCGACGTGACAGTTTTTTCTTACAGCGACTGCGCTTGGATCGCAAAGTCACACAACGATCGCTAAAAGGTCGCTATTGTTGAGTCACGATGGCAGATTACACCTTTTTTGTAAAATAAGAGTTGGTCGCGACAATAGCGGCTTCTTAGCGATCGCGTCGCGAATCAAGCAAGAAAGTGGACTTGGGGTGCCATTTTCATGCCGTCATCTATTACCAAAACGATGCAATTCATAGAAAGAAATGTATTGTGTACAACTTGAACTCTTTTGACATAAGAATAATAATTTTTCTATGTCAAGGCTTTGAGAAAATCTGCAAAATAAAGTACTATCCTCATTGGAGAGATATCTGTTTGATCTATTGCATTTTACAAAGCAACAACAGGTAAGTGTATAAGAACCAACACACAGCTAGATACTCCGAAAAATTCTGCACTTAAGCCCTAAAAGCAACTTTTCGTAGGGGGTTGAACTGGGTAAAAGTTAGATTTCAATTTTTTCTGATTTTGTAGATGCACCGTTGAGATTTTCGTGGATTCCAGTATTTTAACTATTCCAAAAGAACGGTGCATACTTATCTTTAAAGCAATACATGAATAAAATTTAAACATAATTCTCTACCTTTTAAAACCAAAATGACATTCTTACATTCAGCACAACGTACGAAAGTAGGTTCAGAAAGTGGACATTTATGATAGGGCACCCGTTAACTTTCCGACTTTTGAAGATGAAGTTTTTCTTTGACCATCCGGTTTCTTTTTTCCTCTTTTTAGGAATATCAACATCAGCTGGAATCAATGATTTTAGAGGACCAAATGGAGTTTGGACAGCCAGAGCGAAAGGAATAGCTCCTCCTGTTTCAACCGTTCGAAACCCAGAACCAACCCTGACACATATGGCTTTCGTTGAATTAATGAAAGTTGGCTATTTGAAGTTTCTGGTTTCACAAAACTGTGATGGTCTTCATTTGAAAAGTGGAATAACAACAGATAAAATAGCTGAATTACATGGAAATTGTTATTGTGAGGCTTGTGCCAAATGCGGTAGAGTATATTATCGAGAAAAACGTGTTCCCTATTATGAACATCACACATGGCTAACTGGTAAGCAATTACAACGATAGAATAAATCAGGACTGGGCGAGTACAGGGGAGGAGAGGTCCCAGTCCAAATGATGAAATCAGCAAAGCGAGCTCGAGTTCAATAATTTTTTCAGATCTCTTTGGCTGTCGTTATCTATAGTTCTTTTCTCCTATGCTGTACAATACATCAGTCTTATTATAACAGAAGAAGTTACATAAGTAAACTTCTATTGCATATCCTATACTTATACCGGGTGTCGGGAAATTCATTGACCAAAAAGAAAATTAAATATCTCCACCATTTCTCGACCAAACTTCAAGGTTGTTTTTTTGTTTGATAGAGAAACGTTTCAATTTCTATTTCATACGATTGGAACCTCTTGTTAATATTTGAAAAAATGTTTGGATCTATAATAGTGGAATTCAGATATTTAGTAAATTATGTACTGCAAAAGTTTTTTAAGAGAACACAAATAATTTTTAATATTAAAGTAAAGTAGATAATGACGGCTTTCATATAACGAAATAATTATTTACATTTGCTTAAAAATGTCCGGTTGGTGTGGATTTCTCCAGCCATTGTTATTCCATACTAGCATCTGGAAAAGTGCAAAAAAAGTAATAAAAATATTTTTCAGCTAAAGCTAACTAATAAAAGGAAACACTTTGAGTGGAATTCTATACAAAGAAGATAGCCCTATAAATCGGAATAGTTTGAAAGCCTGTAAAAAGTTGTATCAGGCTAGTCCGGAAGCCGAAACTCGTAGGACATGCTCGCCTGGCCCGGGAACAAATGATGTTATTTATTTTTCATTGTTTCTAGGAAATAAATGTGAAACGACTGGCTGTAACGGGCGTCTGAGATGTACAACGGTTGCATTTACACAGTCAATGCCAGATATTTGTCTTGATTTAGCAATAAAACAATCAAATATGTGTGACTTAAGCCTCTGTATGGGTACATCAATGAGAGTCGCACCGGCATGTAAACTGCCAACAATGGGCTTGAAATCTGGTGGTACAATGGTTATTGTTAGTAAGTATCGAATGACTATCCGTCCTCCTGCATTTGGTCTCTAATGTTGTCATACTAATTCTTTTTCACAGATCTTCAGAAAACTCCGTACGACGATCATTGTGCATTGAGAATCTATGCTCGATGTGATGAAGTATTGGCAATGGTTATGAAAGAATTAAATGTAGAAATACCTCCCTATAAAGATTTAAAACTGGCGTCGGATAGCAATTGGATGAAAGAATTTGAAAAGAATTGGCCATTTAGGTGAATAACTAGGTAAAACAAATTGCTTTTTAGTTTTTGATTTTTTTCTTTTCAGAACGACCGGTGATACGAATTGGTTTGCTGGTGATATTTAAAATCTTAACTGGTTTAACATAAGTTTTTTGTGTGCCACCTGTCAAACAGAAAACTAATTAATTTTTTTTAATAAAATATGTTTTTAATCTCTCTCGGAATTACCTTCAGGTAAACATATGAGCCAGTTGCATAGCCATTGCATTCTATCTGTCCAGTTAGAGAAAAATGACAATATCTCTACCAAAAGTGAATAAAATAGAGATGTGCAGGGTAGCTGTTTCTGGAGCCCTAGCCCTACCCTGTGAAAATTTTTGGTACCCTCTCCTGTGATACCCGAGCCCTGGCCCTACCCTACCACATCATTTCGGGTGGTCTTAGAGCCCTGGTGGCTTTGTTAAGTACGATATCGTTTATCCGGATTTGTCAAGTAAAGCCCTGGTCCTACCCTACCCTGTCATCTCCGGTGAGCTTAGAGCCCTGGCCCTAACTTACCCTGTGACTTCAGAGCCTTTACACTACCCTACCCTGGGCCCATCTCTAGAATATAACTTTGAGATACAATTATATTATATATCTTTTTTAGACTAATCGGTTGAAGTATGGTATGATTTTTTGAGAACTTCTAGATAAAAAAACCGAATAAACGTCTCTCTGATATGCAAAAACATCGCACACAAAAAAAAATTAAAATCTCTAGCATCAAAACCATTTGACAAAAGCTATAGGAAAAACCATGCAACAATCAGAGCCGTAATTACTGTAACGAAAAACAAAAGTTATTAGAAGAACCACAACAAAAGTACCAACACCACTTACAAGAATGGCTTTAAGAAAAATGAAAGGTAGTAAACGACCTCATACCGATACAACAAAATTAAACAAAGAAAATTTAAAATTATATGAAACGAGACGTCAATTAGAAATAAAATCAAAAAAATGGATATAACACCACCAGCACATAAAGTTACTTCGTTAATCAAGGAAGGAAGGAAGGAAGAATACCCTGTCTTGCGGTATAGGGTGCTGTCCTGAGACAGTTTCGTAAGCCCGATATCTCCCCTACAATTAATATTAGCTGTAGCTCTGGACAGAAGGCCAGCCTGACTCAGAATTCTGTCGCTCAATCACTTGAGCTCCCCGTACACACTGACTAACCACATACAAGCTACATGGGCTGATGTATGTTACAACATAGTCAGCCTGCTATCGGACGGGTGATCCGAGGCAAACAACCGTTAATGACTTGCCCAGGGTCATTCCATGTCTGGTGGCGCTGAGGCTCGAATATAGTGCCTTGGGGGTACGTGCCAAACACCTTAATCACACAACTATAGCGGCTCTCGTTAATCAAACAAAACTATTTTTTAAAAGTGTCAGTCCACCAGCCAAAAAATGTATAACTTTGAGAAGTCATTTTATAGAGAAATGTTAATCTGCTTAATTATCTAGTTGCAATTTTAGATTAGTTTGTCGCCTTATTGCAAATATAATTCTTTGCAAAAAAAAACGAGAAAAGGGGACCGTTAGCTGGACAGTTGAATTATTTATAACAAGAACAGATAAGATAAGATAAGATAAGAAGATATAACAGGATTTAAATACAAAATATGATTGTTGTCTTGAAAAAATTCAATTCATTGAGTTTTTGACATGTTTCTTGAATATCTTGCTCTTTCTTGGCTGTTTTCAGGAATATTTCACATTTTTCGATTGGTGGCTTGTGACGGGAGAGTTGCTTCCGAAAATCCAGGCGGATGCCATTCATCAAATGTTGAACGATGATTTTTTCTGACATTAATGGGTCTAATTCGTTACATAATGATACAATGTCACAGAATGCATAGCAAAGGATTCAGATGACTCTTGTTTCCGTTGTGATAGCTGATTGAACCTAATTTAAGATTTCATGAATGAGGAATATCGATTTCGAAAAGCTGTTTCAAATTGATCATCGTTAAACCATTTACCGGCCGTTTGGGATAATTTCAATCGTTGAGCATTGTTTGATGACAACAAATAAAATGCCGATTGTCCATGAACGAAATGTTGAACAAGGTAAACTGGAATCATCAGTATTTGAGACATATGCAGCTACTTCTTCATACGGCGATTGCTCAACAGTAGTAAATCGTGTTTGATTATCTTGTAATAAAG